ACCCCCCTCTTCGCCAACGTACTTACTTTATGGATGGTCCCTAAGCCCGCTCCATTCCTTATCGAAAATAAAACGGCGGGCTGAAGAAGAAACAATAGCAAATGTATTGATTTGTTACTGCTTGCAGATTCGAAACGACTTTCTAGCCGTCCTCCAACCACCTCGTCTCTACATTTCTAAGGCATCTACTCGAAGTGAGGTAAAGAGAAAAATTTTCTTTACTCGATCTTTTCTTATATATACAGCCCGTGCACTTAGCCACAACAGGCCTTTGTTCTTTTCCAAAGTTTGGATGACCACGGAACCTCCTAAAACACCATAAAAAATATTTAAAAATTCGCAATATTTTCCGAGTGCTCTTAAAATTGGCTGTTCTTTGCCAAATTCAATACAGTTTTGACTTTTTAGACCGCTCCTTTGCTTAAAAGCTACATAAGCGGGCTAATGCCATCGCCCCTGTGTTTCTATCCGTCCGTCTATCCTTTGCCCAGGAATACGTGAGGTAGAGGTCTGAATTTTTCAGGGTAAGATTGATGTCACTTCAAGTCAACGAAATCTTGCAAATCCTGGCAGTAGTGGGTCTGAGGGGGTAAGGAGTACAGGAAGTAGGAAAAGAATTTTTTTTCTGAAGGGGTGACTCGCAATGCTAGCAATCCCCTTTGGACTTCAATTTTGCCCGTTTGGCTCTATTTCTCATTCCACCGTTTATACGCTAAACGGGTTTTCTTTAATAGAAAGGGCCCTAAAACATCTTTTCCGCAGCGCTCCAATCGGCCTCACCGACGCCTCTGTTGACCAATCAGCGTTCAGGTGGAATCAAATCAGGCAAAGTTTTGCTTTGGGTCCTATTGTTGTAGCGGAATACTCCACTTTGCAGCTTAGTGTTCCTTTTTTTTAACGCAGCGCCAATCACGCCGCGCCTGCTGCTACTCCAAGTTCTTAGCTTGAGGTCTATGATCTTCCTCGACGGTCTTTGTCAGGTGCATCGTGCGGGTGTTGTGGAGTCTCGTTACAGGGCCATGGTATGAAGCGGGCAACAAAGGTGTCCCGAAATCCTTGTAGGAAAAGCACAAAACTCGCTTATATTTCTGTTCCCGCCTCTAGGCCTTTTCAAATATGAAAAACTGTCAGATGACTTTCGAGGCCCCCCATATAATTAATAGGTCAGAACCGGGCCAAAGTACCATGATAATTTCTCATACTCAGTAATCGAAAAAAGATTAATAAGTTTGTTCTGTTTTACTTCCGTTTCAAATATCCTGGTGTGCCTTAGTAGTGCTGAACCGTCTGCAGACTGCACTGGTAAAAACAAAGATAGGTTTCAATGCATGGTCAAGAAAACGGAAGTCACCATGCATGCTACAGTATAGCGACTTCCGTTTTCTTCTTCCCCGTCTTCTTCACAGTTTCAACAGGACACCTTATTTAAGGATGACCCCCTTACTAAATATATCGTCAGATTCATAATCACCGATTTCAAAACGGTTTTACACCAGTTTTGACATTGTTGGGGGATGAGGATCTATTTCGGCGGCCTAGCCAGGCTCCCCCCAACCACAATGGCCACCTTGTTCAGGGGCTGCAATTTGCAAATCCGCCTCAAGTTTGGGTTTTCTTTTTTCCTTTACGGACAAAGACTGAAATGGACTATTAGGGCAGCACCAATTCCACATCAAATGAGGCCTGAGCGGCAGCGCTGCTTCCAGCTCCGGCCGCTAGGGCGCAACACGCTCCGAGTCCACTATGGGAAATCGTGCGCGCAAATGAGGGGTTTGGTTAGATTTAGCAATTTCATCATATCGTATTATCACTTGAAAAAGGATCATGTTTAAGTTATTGTCGGTATCAAACGTGTTCGTGTTATCTGATAGGCGCACCTGACCGGTTAATTTGTCAAAGTGGACTCAGAGCGTGCTGCGCCCTAGCGGCAGGAGCTGGAATTAGCGCCGCCGCTCAGGCATCATTACTCACTTGTATTTTACAGCTACATAGATTTTTGGAGACAGTCTGGTGGAACAGCGATGGAACGGCTGTAGGCGGATTTTTTAAATTAAAACGGAGCAGTTTCGTTGCGGTGAGTAAAAATCACGGCAGGAAACTTGTAAAACCAGGTACAACAATAAACAGCCACAACAGCTTCAAAGGCATAACAGTTGATGTATTTCCAAATATTTTCGTTGTATAGAAAAAAAAATGACTCTACAGCCTATATGTGTTACCGACACAAAGTTCTTCTTCACGCACACCCACGTCCTCCGTTTGAGGCCCCCACTTTCAGACTGACGTGATCATAGAGAAATAGTTATTTATCTACGTGATCGTGGTGTCCAGCTACACTGTGTGCAACTGCTACCCAGCCCTCAGGTACCTCGGGCGTCCCGGGGCCGCTCTATCTGTCCCCGCTTCTTCTCGCAAGTGTGCCGAGGGACTAGCACCAGCGCCCAGCCGGAATTTCCTGGGAAGGAAAATACTCGTGGACGGCGGGTAGTCCAGGCGAATCAAAAGCTTACTGAGGGTGCGAACCTCCGACGAACGGCGCTTCGTCCCCCAGGACCCTGACAAACCTCGGCGTATCATCGGCGCACCAAACGCGACCCCCTGCGCGAACCGATAGCAATGCGAATGCATACCAAAAGTGAACTAATCTTTTTGCGTCGGGCAGTTGATTGTTGATTTTGAATAAAATATGCCAGAGGGAGGGAGAAGAGAAGAACCTTTTTGGGGAGTAAGAAAATACGTAACACTAACCTTGTCATCCTATGATAGTTGTCATGTACGCAGAAAAATGTTCTGGCCAGACAACAAAACTGCGTTTGTATTGTTCCTTTTACCAGTACACCCAATCAGTTTCGCTGTCAGACCGCCACAGATGACACAAACTCCGTGTTTGTAGGGTTCAAGTAGCGAATTAGGCTATCCCCCTTTTACTTGGGGGCAGCGTCACTCTTCAACACCACCTGCTGCATTATGAGCCGCGTCTGGGTGACAGCCCAACAATGAACACCTTGATCGATCAGTTCGCTCGCGGCGCGCACGCCGCCCACGAGAAATATACTGCACGATAACTAGGAGTCCCTAATGCACAAAAACACCACGCTCAAAGGCGCATCAAGAATTAAAAGTGTCCTTCACATGCCTTTAAAGTCCCATAACACCTTAGGAGACGAAAATTCCCTGACGGTGGGATCGTTTCGCAGTTAACAAGCCTGTTCGCGTTTTATTACAAAGGGTGGGGTACAGTCCATTGTTTTTTAAATTTCAATGGATCTGTAGTTTCTTGTACATTCTGCTTTCACTGCTTCTACTTTCTCAAAGCTAATATTGCATTTTTTCCCGCAGGTTATGGCCGCTGTTATTACCTACGCCTTCATTATGCTGCAGTTCCATTTGAGCGTCTTGTCGCCGTCTGCGCTGTCTGATTAAAGTAGTGAACGCTTGGAACAAGCCGTCCTACACTGTTAGAAATTTCCACGGAATTTTGAACGGAATTAAAAAATACTAGTAGCAGTTACTAGGATCTTAGTACCAGGTACCAGACAGTCTAGTAAAATAGGAACCAACTAGGAATCTAGTAAAAGATACCAGACAGGCTAGTAACACAAAGTCTAGTAAAATTTACCAGATGTCTAGTTACAGATACCACACATTTTCTTTCCAAAAAGTGTTCAAAAAATATACGAATGCAATATAGAAGATGTCTGCCCGTTACTACGGTTACAACGGGTACTCGTTAACCCACGAAATTTCGAAGCCCTGACCGAGTTTCGAACCGCGGACCTTTGCCTTGGAAGTCCGCACCCTAGACCACTCGGCTACGGTGACTACCTGAGTAGAGAGGCGTGCGTAACGAGTGTGATGCCACCGCCGCCGGACCACAGGCATAGCCTAGTAAACGTGCAGTCTGGTAAAAATTACTATACAGTTTGGTAAACATAACCAGACTCAGTTACTAGACAGCTGGTACCTGTAACTATACCTGTGTTAGTATACGATACTAAACTTCTCGTAAAGCTTAGTATTATCCTAGTTGTAATAACTAGCATCCATTTAACTAGGATTTGTCTGGTATCTGTTACTAGTCCTTTTTTTCAGTGCAATAACATAAATCTCTATGGGTAGCTCAATTGTTTAAACTATTTGTTTCTAAAATTATTTAATATTTAATTTGACGGGGAAAATGTACGGGATGCACCGTTATTTGAAATACGGACAAGTCCGTATCTTTACAGTCATCCCGTTACGGTTTGGTACCGTATTTGGAATTAACGGTGAGTTCCGTAAGAATTCCGTAATTAGCCTACGGAATTTCTAGAGAGGCGTGCGTAACGAGTGTGATGCCACCGCCGCCGGACCACAGGCATAGCCTAGTAAACGTGCAGTCTGGTAAAAATTACTATACAGTTTGGTAAACATAACCAGACTCAGTTACTAGACGGCTGGTACCTGTAACTATACCTGTGTTAGTGTACGATACTAAACTTCTCGTAAAGCTTAGTATTATCCTAGTTGTAATAACTAGCATCCATTTAACTAGGATTTGTCTGGTATCTGTTACTAGTCCTTTTTTTCAGTGCAATAACATAAATCTCTATGGGTAGCTCAATTGTTTAAACTATTTGTTTCTAAAATTATTTAATATTTAATTTGACGGGGAAAATGTACGGGATGCACCGTTATTTGAAATACGGACAAGTCCGTATCTTTACAGTCATCCCGTTACGGTTTGGTACCGTATTTGGAATTAACGGTGAGTTCCGTAAGAATTCCGTAATTAGCCTACGGAATTTCTAACAGTGTAAACTGTCGCCGAACTGACGCATCCTAACAATGTCCTATCTACACTGTAAACCCCGGGAATCTAGCAGGCAGGCGACAAAGTCGCCTGGCCCAAAAAAACTAGGCGACTTAAGTCGACTACGTGCTGTACACTTAGGTGCATTTCCCGAGGTCTGGGCTACTGGAACCAAATGCAATGTATATCAGTGGAGCATAGCAAATGCATGGGAGAGTGATAGGGGTAGTAAAGACACTAAGCAGCAAAGCCGCCCACTCATTGGACACATGAGGTATCCAGATGTCAGGCGTATTACAGGCTGTCCAGTTACGGGACATAATAGTTATGTGTGGAAAATATGTGCAGTACCAGTGTGCCCATCATATATCCCAAAATGTGATTGGTTGGCTATTTAGGAAAATCTGAAAATACACACTTTAGCACCACAACCCCTGGAATGGTTGGATAACTTACCTTTGTTCTCCGGTGTAAGAATAAGGCCATGCCACCTTTATCCTAAAATTTTTGCTAAATAACGGAAGCACGCAAGACTCGTCATTCTTTATTTGTCATCGAGTAGGACTCA